GAATCTCACCCACTCTCCCCCATAGAATCCTTGACCAGAGAAAATCTCATAATCAATCTCCTTCTCCTTCTCCTTCTCAAAAAAGGAAGAAATCCATTGGGCCCAACTTTCAAGAATCAAATGGCTCTTTGCGAGTGATAAGAATACTACCTTATTCCATATGAGTGATAGCTCCAAATAAAGAGCTAATACCATCAATCACATCTTAACTGAAAATCACTCCTACTCTGACCCCTTAGACACTACCTCTGCATTCATTTCCTACTTGTGTAGCCTTTTCTCTACTCAAGCAAGACCCACCCGTCAATGACCCCACCTCTTTTTCTCCTCCATCTATCCTACCCAATTGTCTTAGCACGAACATCCTTTTGATGAGGCTGAAGTTCGTGAAGCCATCTCCTCCCTCGACAAGGAGAGTGCTCCTGGCCCCAATGATTATGGAATTGTATCGCTCCTGACCTCCTTGCTTTCGTTACTGAGTTTCACCAATACAAATCCCAAGAAAGAGGGTCTGTGTGACATCAAGGACTTCCATTCTATTAGCCACCTTGACTCTACCTACAAGATCCTCATCAAGGTCTTTGCCACTCGATTGACCTCAGTCCTCCACTCTGTCATCCCCTTCACAGAGTGCCTTTGCTCCCCCATAGGCAAATCCTTGATACTGCCCTCACAGTTCATGAGGTCATTCGTTACCGCCATTTCAACTTGATTGGGTAAATTCCTACGACTTGGTGGATTGGAACATTCTTCTTCATGTTTTCAGCCTTATGGGCTTCAGTCAAACCTAGCGCAACTGAGTTCACAATGGCATCTCTTTAGCTTCTTTCTCCATCTTCACGAACGGCTCCCTTAGGGGTCACTTTTCCTCCTCCCGTGGTCTTCGTCAAGGACATTCCCTTACCCCCTTCCTTTTGGCTGCCATGGCTAAAGTATTCAGTCAATCCATTTCTCACCCTATGCAACAACTCGTTTGCTAGTTCCAAATCTTCTCGATCGAGAGTCTCTATATCCCATCTCCAATACACCGATGCCACCCTTTATCTTTTGTGATGCTTCCCAAGATGAGGTCAACAACCAGTGGCTATCCTTCGTTGCTTTGAGCTCATGACTAGAATTAAAGTTAAACTCGTCAAATCCAAACTTTTTGGTGTTTGTGTCCCTCAAAACACTATCACTAACCCCACCTCTAGACTAGGGTGCGTAATCAAGGCCCTTCCCTCCAAGTATCTCAGTCTCCCTCTCTACCTGGGCATTCTTAGAAAATCTCTATGGGATGTTGTAAGAAAAAAATTCCAGAGGAAATTGGCCCTTTTAAAGGGACATTCATGCCACTTTGTTGACCATATCGCCCACATCAAAGCAACTCTCTCCAACCTCCCAATCTACCTCATGTATTTATTCCATATGCCCTTATCTATTAATGCCACTCTCAAACGTCTCGTGAAGTCCTTCCTCCAATTGGGAGACCCTTCTAAGCTAAGACTCATCTTGTTTCTGGGGACCAAATCTATTGGAGGCGTTGGCATCCGAAACCTATGCCTTATGAACGCTGTCCTTCTTCGTAAGTGGTGGTAATGCTTTGCCAAGCACCCGATCTCCTCTGGCAAGAGGTCCCCTTTCACAAATATGGTGTTGACCCCATGATTGGTTTTTTTTCTTCAATGTCCCAATCAGTCCTTTGGCTTCTGCGGGGGTCTTTTCACCTGCCAACACCAATTCTTACCTCTCACCAGATTTAAAGTCCATCGTGGTGACTGTGTTCCTTTTTGGTCCAGGGCAACAACCCCTCAAAAACCTTTGGCCTAACCTTTTCCTCCTTACCAGTTCTCTAAGTGCTAATGTTTGTCAGTGTATTGATCAATCCCTGAAACTTATGTTCGGTGTCCCACCTTTCGTCGTGTAATCATGTATTACGAAAATTCTGAGCTCCTCCACCTCTTTTACCTGATGAATTCTTTCTTCCTTGCTAACTCTGGTCACCTTCTTTTACACGTCTCTTGCTCCCTCCTTTTTGTTGGGTTTTGTGGCTTTTAAAGGCCGAGAGAGCTTGTAAATATAATATTTTATAATAGAATATGCCCTTCAGTGGGAGCGTGGGTATTGACTGACCAACGGTAGTGCGATTTATGGCCCTGATCATGTCCAAAACCTTGAGCCATGGGCATGTGGCACCACCGAAAACGGTTTGCAGTGGGTCATCCCTTATTGAGGTCAGAGAGATGCCAAGGGAAGATGTTTGTAGGCCAAGATAACTGTGTGGCCTCCTATGTGCAGTTGTTGGCTTGTGAGACCAAAGGCCGAAGCCTCAAAAAACTTTCTCACGACATGTACACATGACAACCGTATTACTGGGAAGCAGACCTATAGAGGGACATGTGTACATGCGCATAGAGAGATCCCCATTTGCATTATGGTGATAAGTGCTAGACTTGCTCTTAAAGGGGGAACTGAAATTTACATTTCAGGATCATGATTCTACTATTTATTGTCCAACTTTGACAAGTCAATCATGAGCCCTAAAATGAGACTGTGGGTCATGCATCTTTGTTGGGAAAGATAAGAAAACAGTAGTGGATCATGGTTTCTGGGGCGAGTGGAGTGGCCTCATTGTCACCCCATTGGTACCAGTCCATTCCTTGTATACTATTAGAAATGTTGCTATAATTTTTAAATATTTTTTAAAATTTAAAATATTATTTCTGCTGTAATTTTCATCAAAAGGGTATTTCTGAAATTTTCAGAACTTGATAAGGTACATGTAGGGACCAAGGATCCAGTCCCTACATGTGTGTGCCACCCATGTGGGGCCCACATGACCTCCTAGGATGGAACATTACTTTTCTTAAAAAGGGAGGGCACGCTAGTTTTTAGGGTAAAAGCTCCACACCACTTTTAAAGGAAAAAAGGTCCACACCACTTATTTAAGAGAACGGTAGGCACGCTCCACTTTAGTCTACATTTCCCCCTTGCCACCCAAGATTCATGCTTTCTATTGGCTTGCCATCCTTGGATGTAACCTCACGATAAGCCAGCCTCAAAAGCATGGCCTGCCTCTTGTTACCACTGCTGCTTATCGCCTTAGTGTTGAGGAAACTCATGACCATCTTTTCATTCATTACTCTGTCTCCTACAAACTTTGGCGATCACTCTTCGAGACTTCACGAGGTTTGATTAACACCCAACTTAGCCTCTCAACTATTCTTTGGGCACTCCAGGCCCTTGCAGTAATGGTGGCATCTTCTGCGACTCCAATGGCAACTCCATCTCTCTTCAGCGGTCCCCACAGCTATGGTGAACAAAGGCGAAGGCAAACACTCTGCTTAAGGGCCTCCCCAAATCCAACCCTTCTTGGGGCCTTGATCTTACTGTGGAAGGAGATAATGTTAACGTCATTCAATGGGCTAATAGGATTTGCATGTGCTCCTGGTTCCTCGCCACTGTTTTTTACCATATTTTTCACTTGTGCAGGCCTCTTCGAGTAGGCTTCCCTCATATTAGCAAAAGTCTAACTCCGATGTGGATATTTTAGCCAATGAAGGGGCCTCCATGCCGGGGAATTCACTTCCTTTCCACTCTTATCTTTTTTGACTAATGATATATCTCCTTTTTTTTCTCACTCTATCTCTCCCTCTTTGTATCTCCATTTCTTCCTGTGTCTCTCTCACACAAACTTTTCTCTTCTCTCTCCTCCCCTCTCTATCTTTACCCATTCCTATCTGTCATCTCTCTCGTCTCCATATTTCTTGTACCCCTGCTTCCTCTTTTTTGCAGCTGCCACTATAATCTGCGAGACGTTGCAAGCTCGCCTACCCGGAGGGTACCCTTTCCCCTAATCCCTTCTCGCTCTCTACTGCTTCTCATCTGAGCACCCTCCTTTGTGGACACCCGTTTTGTGGGATGCCCCCACTTTTTTGGTTTTCTCTCTATCTACCCTTCTATTTGGGCTCTTTTCTCTCTCGCACTGAATCTCTCCCCCGGCCCCCTCCTCTTCTTCATCTTACGCATCTCCTATCTGCATGTACATTACTTTTTGGACAGCAAGACCTTTTTGAACTGCAGTTGCCTGGCTCTCCACCCCATTTTTTGAACAGCCTCAATTTTCAAAGACACTACTTTTTATGAACTACAACAGCCTGATTTTTGGATAGGCCCAGACCATTCACCACATACCTTTTTCTTTACCCTCTCCTCTCTTCTCTCTTCTCTTCTCCTCTTCTCTATTTTCTTTTCTTCTTCACCTAACACCTTATCTCTTCTCTTCTCTCTTCTCTCTCTCTCTCTTCTTCTNCTCTTCTCTCTCTCTCTCTCTCTCTCTCTCTCTCTCTCTCTCTCTCTCTCTCTCTCTCTCTCTCTCT